TTATCGAAGAAAACGTTGAATCCACGTATTTCATATAATGAAATTGGACCATGTGGCCATTAACCAAACATCGTTGAGTGTGAAAAGGAGAACATAAAAAGTAATTCAGCCGGCGTAGATCGAATTCGTCGTCTAGAATTAATGCATGTGCCTGAGTAGAACTAACTTGATGATCAGTAAGAGAAAGGTAGCAAATCATTCTATCGTACATGTAATTTAATCAATGGCAGTTGAATTAAATGATGCACAACGAAAAAGAAGTGTCGGCACGAACTCAAGCGGCATCTATTCTGGAATCTCTTGGTTTTTAATTTTTATAAAATGGTATCAAACAATAACAGATGGTGCTTTTCCAGCATCTTTTCTGATAGAAAGATCTCGGCTTTTCCTCAAACTTCAATTATCGACGAAACAGAAAGATCCTATCAAACATCGCATGAAACTAACTGATTCCGTCTTTAATCATTGTGAATGTATCGAGAGTAAATTGGATGCAAGGCTGTTAACTTCACTCGCACATTTTTACCTGCTTCGCTACGTCTCAATTGTACGATAGAAAATAAAAAAGTATATTACTAGACCTATTTATCAGTGAAAGTGACTTGACGATGCATTCATGCATGATCAATATTTCACTAGCTTCATAAAAACAAAATATGTATATAGTTGTCCGTATCTGTGATGCATGATTTTTCCACTCGACGTGAGATAAGGACAGTATTGGTGTAGAAAGTATTTGAGATGAGTAGATAAAACATGATTGAAAATACGTTTATGTATTATATTCTAGCTGTGGTAATATTTCTCTTCAGTTTAAATTTCTGGTCTTTTATCTCTTCGCGACTAAAAACCTTCTTTTGTTCGGCTGTAGCTGCCTAGAAAATTGTGTCTGTTTCTAACTTTTGTAATAAATCAAACGCGAAACACAGCTCTACTCGACGCGTCTGCTCATAAAGCGCGAGGATAACCAACATCGAGTATCGAAGTTGGATCGGATTTTCTGTATGCCACTGCCGAAACCTGAAGTTTTCGAACCTAATATTTAGTATGAAAAGTTGCTGTAAAGAAATTACACGTATTCAAAAAAACTCACTTTTGCTAAGAGCATAAATCAATAATGACCACGAGCAGTTAACTAGCATGCCTACAAATAATAATTCTCAAGCCTTTCATTAAATCTGTTCTGTTTCAGACTAAACATGGCACCTGTTCGAGTTCTGAACGAGAATTACCACAAGAAGTCATTCTATTTATTAATGAAACAAATTATTATTTATGTTGCAATATAAGAATATTTTATTATATCTGTGCATAAACGAAAAATAGAAAGGTTGCATTGACGGAATGATATGAAATATGAGAACTCAAAGAGAAAAACGAAATATAATGTTTGTATTCACTATCATCGAAAATATTGCTTCAATTTATTTAATTAGAAACAGTGTTATCTTTCTCATTTCACATGAAATAATGATTGAATGAGACCTTGTCTATGCTAGAAAAGTTAGATGGCAGTTGAATAAAACTCGATTGCAAAATGTAATGTGAAGCATGAACCTGAATCATCAAGAAAAACTTATACTTCATTAAAAATGAATTATCGTTTCGATGATTATTCATACAACGAGACTTCACATGCGATGCTCACGTTTCACAACAATGAGTTGCTTTCTCTTATTCTTATCAAGAACTTCAATTATTTAAACTGATATCAATTTGTACAATGTTTCTAATGAACGATATCGATTCATCATTCAATTATCTACATGATTCATTATCTATAGTTAGGCACATTCATAGCTGTCTGAACCATAAATAAAGATACTGGTGGCTAACTTTAATTGCTGTCTCCATACACACTCATGCCATTCAAACTGCAGTGACTTATGGGTCTTCTGCTCAATTTCCTTTTTGTATCTCAGTGCATGAATATTTTGAAACTCTTAGAATAAATGCTAGATTTTAGTCGAAATCGCGTCTTCATACAGATGTAAACGCGTCCAAGTCGCCTGTACCATTCGTATCGGTCGTTGTCACTAAGTTTTCGAGTTTGGTTATGTATTAAAGATGACGCCATAAAATTAGTCATAAGCTGGAAGACTCAACCAATAGGGAAAAAGCGTGGCACCTTTGACACATACGTCATAGTATATTAAAATCGACTTTATGTCAAGTTGAAATCACTCTACTCAAAGATGAAAATATTAATTTAATAGATACATTATAAAGCATTTACTATAGAGGGAGTAAACAGTTCGAACAGTCGCTTTTGATGAAAAGTTAACGATGTAAGAATCATTTCTGAGCTTGAAAAGTATTAAGCCTTTTTGAAGCTCTATTTGTAAACAGACGAAACCTGGTCGACAAGATTCGGAAAAAATGATATTGGTTCGATCTCGATACTTTTACATTACGTTTGAACACTTATTTTCTGAATTTCTGTTCTCGGGATAAACGCGACAAAAATGACAACTTTTGATGCGCACGACGAGAGTGAAAGAAAGAAAGAAAAGTAATTCACAAAGAAGTGCATAAATTCTATGCTTCGTGTCGTGTTGATAATGTGGCATTAATTTAGAATTAAATCGACATATGTCTACATCTACTAGTTAATATATCAATAAAAGGCTAGATTGAACCTCTATGATGTAGTTAAAATACATAAATACAACAGCACACTTCTGCAAAAGTCAATATTATGATTTTTATTTACGAACAATTAGAGACGAGTCATCTCGAGTATCAGTCGTCTATTTTATATGCATAGTTTATAAACATTTTCAACTCTACTTCACCCATGTTTATGAAAACACATTGAATCTAACATTCTACGGATAACTTTCTCATTGATGTTCATCTTTTTCTTGTACCAACCATTTTTTGGATAAAACAAAAATCGATTGAATATGTAAAACAATGAAAACCTTTCCTTCTTGATCAAACAACATCAACTTGTTCGAAATTTCTATTAGAAATCTTTAGTATTTAAACTTATCTCGATATCATTCACTCGCACTTTTATGTCATTCAATGAGCAACATAAGTTAACAAAATAAGATCTTCACTCTATAAAATGAATATAGAGTGATTACGTACATCAGGTAATTGCATGATATGATGTTACATCAATCGTAAATTTCATGATTGAACGACAGTTATATGTAAACCAACCTTTACAATAAGTAATAACTGCAAACACATTACGATTATGAAAAGAAAATGTGTATCATGACGCTCACTATTTTTGGTATCCAAGTTTATTTTGATTTTTATTTCTCTTAAACGTATTAGCATATCATTAGAAATGTTTCCTATTGCTTAGTTATACGCAGTTTCAAAATGTAGGTTTGTGTCTCTGTATGATGTTCTCTTTGATTTGAACGTTTCATTTTGAACTCTGTTGAAATTTGTATTATGAGAAAAAACATTTTACCACTAAATCAGTTATAAAGCCGTTCTCGCATGTGCTAACATGTCTTTTCATGAAAAAAATTCGTTTCTTTTTTACAAAATATACCACAATGTGAAAAATATTTGCTCTAACCACTTTAAGTCAATTCTATTCTAGCAACAATCAACTAGTCGTCAAAATGTTTCATGGAGTTGAAAATATTCCTTCAACAGGCATGAATCATCTTTCTGTTTGACTTTTTACTACCCCAAAATGATTCAGTGTGAACAAGTCACATATACAGTTCGATACAATGTTCAGTGTTTTATCTGAGAATCATGTTCAAACTGAGAGAAAAAGTGTATCGCAACCTTAAAATGGCGAAATATTCTTCGAAAATATGGGCATAGTTGCTAAAGAATACCTTCCATTAATTTATATTTTTGCTCACAGTATTTTCGATCTTTTGCCGGTTGGAAATATACAAGAAAATTATTAAAATTCTTTCTAACCACGTGGTTTTGCTCTCTTTTGATATGACATTTTTGACTCCTCGGTACTACCAGAACTTCGTAAAAAAATGTCCTCCTGAGATTTTTCAAAAATGCATGTACCTGGTCTCATTTTTTTATTTTGATCAAAAGAATGGTATGCGGATGAACCACTATCGGAGCCATGTGTTAGTAATACACATGTATCGCCACTACACTTTAGTTTTTTTCTTCGAATGAAAACATTTGACGTACATGATACTTTATATTCCAAAATATGCAAGTTTCAGCAAAACTTATTTGATATATTCATTTTAGATCAATTTAGCTCGAGAAAAATTAGATACGTCAATACATTAAGGAAAATGCTAACACATTTTCAGTATTTCGTCGTCATTAATTCTTCGCACATTTTTTTAGCCTAATTTAAAGATTCTCAAATAGAACATGAAAATATTGAATTGTATACGTGACTTGTTCATTAGAGCCCCGTTGAGCACTGGCCTGAAAGTTTGGATTCGATGGAGTCCAGTAATCTGAGAAATAAGCATAGTGTATTTGTCGTCAAATATAGTAACCAAAAAAAGTATCTCATATCTTCTGAGCGGCTATCCGATCTCTATTAGAAAGCTTCGTTGAGGATCTTGAACAACAGTCATAATACTGTTTGAAAATCTTTTTTGTTGTTTATTGTAGAATTTTACAATCAGCATGCCATAATGTCATAATAACAGGGATTTTTGTTAGATTCCAAGTTTGCTCTGGGTTTTTTTGTATGTCCAAGTCTAGACTGTAACTATTGATCAATTATTATATGCTCTCAGTATCATTTTTTTCTGTGTTCTCCTCCAACTAATTTGACATGTTTTTATTCTTATATTCATAGTTTCTTTGCGCTTTTATAATTTTTGATTTTTCGAGCGTAGTTTTCTTTTCTTCAATGAACTTTTCGCTTGGACAATATCATTTCCTCTGTATTTGATCAGGTTCTTTTTTGTTATCTAACAATGACATATCATTTCTCGAAATCATTGCACCCATGATTTTTTAATTTAACAAAGAAAATCAATATACTAATATCACTAAAGTGTTTAACAAATAATAAATGTTTATAAATTTCAAGTTCGATGAGCTACAATAAGTGTAACATGTTTATTATCTTGACATATACGTCGAATTAATTCAACACCCATTGAATGTGTTACCCATTGTAAATTAGCACTAGTAAAATTAGTTTTAATTTCTAAAAGACGATCACCGATACGAAGTTGATTATTCTTTGTAATTGTTGCCAATAAGCCATTGGGATCAATATGAGAAATGAATAAACCAGAATCTTCCGTATTTCTATCTAATCCACCAGTAATAGTAATGCCAAGTGATTGATTTAATGCGTCCGACGGTATCAGTATATCAATATGTTCAATATGCAAAGGATTTAAACGTCGAATATGAAGTGATATAGATTGACCTTGAGCTGAAGAAAATGCTTGAACAGCTTCATCATGAGTTACATTATTTAAATTGATGGCATTAATCGAAAGTAAACGATCAAAAAGACGAAGATTACTTCGTCCATTATCGAATGATGATTTCGAACAATAATCAATATGTGTTATAACAATTGATGGACCATTTTCAGTATCAATACCACCACTGATAGTAAAACCATATCTATTCAAATTATTGTTTAAAGGTTTAATTTCGATGATTTCATTCTTCCAATCATTTGCAATAGATTGATATTCTTGTCTTTGAATTGATGAATAAGGCGGTGGTAGTTCCTTAACATGCAACAGTTGTGTACCATCCGAAAGTTCATTACGATTAAGTATATGAAGATAAGTACCTATATGTTGTCTCATGTTGTTAGATTGATATGTATATATATATATATATATATATATTTATATATTTTAACAAACGAAAAAAATGAATCCAAATGAAAGATAAGACAATTTTATGTTAATATATATTTGTTAAAGCTTATCAAATTTATCGAAACGATAGTGAATCACTGAATGACGCAGTCATCCGCTAGTAACTATACTTCAGCAATAGACCATATTTTTTTTCTTTCGTTCTTTTTTCCTTCTCTCATGCAAATCGTATTTTATCTTTCGATACTATTACAGATAAGCTCGTGTCAACTATTATTCGTTTGAAATTAATTTTCGGAAGAATCAAATAATTATAATAATTAATACTATTGAATTCATTGTAAGACTTCATAAGATCATCTTCAATTGCTTATCTTGTTTTAGAATACAAAATAATATTTCTTACTTTAAATGAATATTCGAATGTATTTGACTTTTCACTCAAATACGACAAAGAATAATTTTCTTCTTATCAAAATTTTATTACATAAAAAACCTAACTGAATTTAATTTAAATTTCATGTTTGATGAGCAACTACAAGTTTGATAGATGTTGACTCTTTTCTCATACGTTTAATTAATTTTAAAGCAACTTCAAATTCAATATATTGTAGATTAACAGTAACATATGCATTGCGTATTTCTATTAAACGATCACCTATTCGCAAACGTCCATTATTTGCCGCCAAACTTCTTGGTTTAATACCAATAACAAATAAACCTGGATCATCATCATGATTATTATTATTTCCAATACCATCATCAATCGTAAAACCGAGTTTACGTGAATTTAGCAAGTTATATTTCTGTAAATTAAGTTCAATAGTTTCGAGAATTGGTGGTTGTAAACGACGAATACGTATTTTAACTATTTGACCTTGATGTGCCTTGATAATACGTTGAGCCATTTTTTTGTCATATTTATAAAATTTATCTCATTAAACGAAAGAATAATATCGAATAGATGAAATATTCCATTACTACTTCGAATATTTGTAACAACAATTGCATGATTTAATTTGTTAATACAAATCCATGAATCTATTCTCTTATTAGTTTTTTCACACATTAAAATATCAGTATGGAATTCAATCCAATAATCATTATATATAATGTTTCTCATAGATTTTCCATTTTTTTCAAATGATACTGATGGAATTATAATATCTTCTATTTGCATTAGTTGTTGAAGAAATAAATGCCAAGGATTGTTTGTCGATACTATATCACTTTTCTTCTTTCTTTTTTGCTTAACTAAATAACTTACAACTGAACACCCCAAATAGATATCTTTCAAGAGTAAATACTCTTTATCTTGTATGTGCAACTATAGTCTTGATATTAAAATCATGTTTCAATGATTTCCTATCTTTTATTTCCAACTTCATTTTCATCACCATGAGCGCGTTTACGAACAAAAAAGAAAAAAGAAAACGTAGAAGAATCAATCTTCTCTCTGGCTCTCATCTCATATTCATAATTGATGATTTCTTTTCGAATCCTTTATATATAAACATCAACATATCACTAGTAAACGTTAACTAGAAAATAGTAATAAAGTAATAAAATGACAAGAAGAAAAACATAGGAACAAAGCATAAAACTTCTGTACATTATTCCCCTCATCTCTTGTTAACATTTTCTTGTTTGTTAAACACACACACACGCACACATGAACATGTGTCTAATGCTAAGTTGAGATATATTAAAAAATAATAATAATGTATAACAAATAGTGAAGAAAAAAAACGCTCGAATTAAGATATGAGATAGATATAGAGAGAGATGATTAAACCATCTCTTGTGATGTGTATGTAGAATAGTAAACAAAAAAGAAAACAGGAGCATAACACGTCACAACAAGATGAATGCAAGCGTATACTGTAAGAAAAAGACAAAAGAAAGTAGTGACTAGAGATGAGGAAGAAAAACAAACGGAAGATCGAGCAATATTCACGGATACATAATATCTTCAATTTTCTTCAATAATTCTTTTGTATAATCAATGGCTTGTTCAGCTTGAGCTAAAAAACGAAAAATTAATTAATCGAAAAAATAAAATAAAATAATAATTAAACTTACAAACAGTGAATACTTCAGCTGGAATTTTTGCAAATCGTGCTGCATTAGGATATTGCATTCGATTTGGATCACCAATCCATTTATATAATTTATAACCTATTTCTCGTACATCGTTATCAACACCAATTAATAAACCTGGTATATCAGCTGTCATATTTTTGCCCGTATCCTTATAATAATGATAAGCTTTTAAGGCTTTTTCAGCTGCCTAAAATTCAAATGATTCATTAAATGTTTCTTTTGTTTTCGTAATAAAAAAAAAAAATTCTAATAATTATCATGGAACACATTATGGACGAAGTCAACCAATGATGTATAACTAACAAAGATATATCCATAGCGATCAAATCTCTTTTGAATCGGGTATATCCTTCAAAGATAGATTTCAATGAGTGATGTAACATCTTACGATGACTCTGTTTTCTAAGTTTCCTGAGCAGAAGTATATACTTATTATTGTTAATACTTATGTTGTACTGCTGTACTAATATTTTTGAGACGGCTTCAATTTATATCGCAAGTAAGACACTTAGAGCTAATTAATATTTCAAAGGTAAAGAGTAAATTGATTATTCTTATCCAAAATATGACTCTGTTTGATATAATATACGATCGAAAAAAGAAAAACATGTTTTTGGTGAAAGATACCAATTATTGATATCTCTGCTATTTTCAGCATACATTTGTTTTTTAGTTAACATATGTCTAGAAATTTCATCTGATTTATCAATGCTTCAATCATTTATTTCGATAATGTCTCTAAGAGATGTTGCAAAATACGACTAACATTCTTTCATTTTATTATGCGCTTAATATGTCATACCAATAGAGAATCTAGACTAATGTTTTATCAAGATTTTCTCTTTCAGAGGAGCGATTTAAAACTCCACAAACAAGAACACATATATTGGAGCAGAGAAACATAGTACGTGATACGATAACTACACACTTCGGGAGAGCTAATCCGGTCTTCGACGAAGTGCAGGCCCTTACACTAAACAAAATATTGGTATTGACCGTATTAAAACATATATGTGTTCAGTATGACCATATTTCATTCTAGACATCCTCGTTTTTCATTTCAAGTATTATCCTCTATTCAATCAAAACAAAATACAATTGTCTCTCTTTGCTGGTTTTCAACCGCAGGCGATTCTGTGCGAACGATGTATTGAGGTAAAAAAATTGAGTTTATTTTGTTCAATGAAGCACATATGTCCAAGGCATACATGTTTTATAAAACAAAAGCAAAAATACGTGAACGCCTTCGTAGTTTTCCTATTAACTGAAGTATCAATAATAAAGATGAAATTTCTACACATTTGTTAGCCAAAAAAAACAATTGTATACTGATAATATTAGAGAAACCAAATTTTGGGATCTTTAATCAAGAACATATCTTTTTCTTTTTTGATTATCATATATTAGATCAAACAAGTTCATATTTTCCATTAAAGCCATCGACTTACTCTCAAATTTTGAAATATCAATCAGCTTCAACTGCCTCACATGAGATATAAATTGAAGCTATATCAAACCTATTAGTACAGCAGTACAATACCAGTATTAACCCTAATAAGCATATATTTCTGTTCAGAACAGCTAGAAAATGATTCTATTCTAGAATATTTTATCACTCACTGAGGTTTATCATCTAATGGATATCCTCAATTCAACAGTGATTTGATGATTGGGACAAGTCTTTTTTGTAAGATTGAAAGATTGAGTATCTCAATAAAACCATAATAAATATATTACTGCCATTATTTATGTCGATAGATCGATTTTTTTTAAAACTTACTCGATAACATTTATAGCAAACCCAATCATATGCTACTTGACCAGTAGATGAATGCATATCACTATATGAACTTTCCAAATCATGTTGAGCTTGTTTAAGCCATCGATCAGCTTCTGATTGTTGATAATTACGTTTACGGCGTGAATTTGGACTTTCTTCTATTATAAATGAAAGAAAAAAGATAAATTAAAAAGATATTTATGTTTTTATAATTTATTTGTTTAATGATTATTATAGATAATAAGCATTCTACGATCAATACTCCCACGTTTACCCAAAAGCAAAGAACACTCACCAAAAATAGGATCCGAGACTAATATGAAAAAAAAGAAAAAGAAAAAAAAGTAAAAACAACTGTTCTGTGCGTGTGTGGACTACATGCAAATAAACTACAGATATGTATATATAACCAAAAACTTACTTCCTCCAGTTGATGATGATGATGTTTGTGAATGTGTTGTATTATTTGTAGTATTTGTACTATTAGTTGCATTTTCTTCAGTTGGAGTAAAAAATCCATGACGTCTGGGAAAACCATGTTGACGACGATATTGCCATTCTTCACGTGCTGTACGAAATGATGACGAACGATGTGGACTGAAACGTGTTTTATTTGCATCATTTGTATCTGTAGGATCTTTTGGTATATCTTGATAGCTACGTTTTGTATCATCATTTGATTCTTTATTTAAATTATCAAAGCTACCAAAACGATCATCAGCTGTTGTTGATGATGTACTATGATGATGATCAGTTTTTGTTGTATTTGAATGTTTATTCCAACTAAATCTTGGATCAGATGCAGAAAATGGTGTATGATGAAAATTATTAAATGTATTAAAAAATGATGTTAATGGATCATTTTCAAAATGATCGATTTGTTTACGTAAATGTTTAAAAACTTCAGCTGCATAACGTTCACGACCGGGATTTTTATCTGGATGCCATTTTAATAATAATTTTTTAACAGTTTTTTTACGTTCTTGTCCAGTTAATTGATATGCTTGTCGAACAGCATTATAGATTTCTGTTTTAGTTAATTCAAGTTCAGTTTTATCAATTTTATCTTCTTCATTTGTTTGTGCTGATTCTGATTCTGATTGTGATTCAGATGCTGTATTACTTGATGAATCACTATCAGCTGATGTTTGACCATATTTTTTAAAATTATTAAAACCATTAGTAGAATATGAATCACTAGTAAAATCCTCAGCATTGTTGGATTTTTCTGAACGTTTTGAAGAGGAGTGAGTTTTTTCATCCTTGAATTTATCTTTATCACCATTTTTGCCTATAGACGACACACGCACAGTGAATCAATTTTTTTTTAATTCAGAATTTATAAAGGAGGAGAGACCGAATGTCACTAAGTACGAGAAAGGTTTTCTTATTAAGATTCATTTCTCAGAAATGTCAAATATTTGTTATTTATATCAGAGACTCTTGACGTTTACGTATTCCATACGCCTTGATCTTTTTCTGACTCAATGAGCACGATTCAAAGGCGTGATATCGTTTCGTCGATATTTTTTGTAAATCATCGCGAAAAATGAGATGGTACAACATGCGCTTCCTAAAGATTGGCGACATGTTGTATGACGAGTGCGCTAGAGACTTTCGCAGATCTCTAATTTGCATTCTTTTTATAAAAGTAACTCATTTTTTGTGGAACCCATAGTATGCTTCTCGAAGAAATATATAGTGATTATAAGTTTTAAGTCAAGGTGCTGCCACACTCTCCCTCAAAGTAATGAAAGGGAGGAGGTAAAGACCACCGGTCATTGGAAATGTTTCCATAACGACCGAGAACAACAGGTGTCAGACTCCTTTCCAGGAGTTCATTAGCAACAGAAATAAAGAGTACTAAATGGCTTTTATTAAAAGAAAGTCTGGAACATTCCAAAGCCTTCGTTGAAACTTGAATGGCTGGAATACATTTGTGAATGTTCTAAATAATTCAGTTTTTGATAATAGTCCAAATAAAAATTGATATTCAAGATGTCAAAAATGATGGATACTCTGTATTGATGTGCAACAGTCTTCATATGATCAGTATTAACAACGTGAACTGATCAAGTGTTATAACCTTGAGAAATCATCAATACCAATATTTCTGAACTTTTTGACGCATATAGTTGTGCGTTGCAACTTATTGTAGATATGTACAACAGAGTTATTTCCCATTTAAACCAATGGTCAGAATAAAAATAATAATAATAGTGTTAAGTTAAACGAAATGGGACACGAATATGAAAAATAACTAGAGTATAGTAGGAAGACAAATAAAAGATAGAGCGCCAGTAAGAAAAATCTCTGTTCGAAATGCAGCAATAAATGCGACAGATTGTCTCCATCGTGATCGATTGTTTATAATCTGCTAGAGATTTTTCATTTCATGTATTTTGTATTAGGATACGGAGGTTAAAGAACATATGTGAGTTCCACATTCTAGTCTCGAAGAGACTGTACTAAAAAACTCTTTTCTATCACAGGATGTATTTGTCAATTACATACTAAAAGTTTAAAATTTCTAATTTTAGTGATAACGAAGTTTCATATCTTCTCGTTTTGTTGGATCGATCTTTTTACGTTTTTTCGATACTGGATAGATCCAAACTCGAGACTATTCGATCTCTCCATTTATTGATAAAGTGAATACTATATTCGTAAATAAATAGTTTCAATTAGATACTAGACAATGAGTATTTAATATCCGCATCAATGTCTTATAGAATATAGGTTATCAGCTCGAATCACAATAATATCTTTGTCAATAATAGATTTAAGAATAAGCAAATGATAAGCAGAAAATAAAACAAGAAGTTAAAGCAGCGCACATCAATGTCATTCGGTCTCTTGTCTTAATCTTTTTTTTTCTTTATTATTATTCTTACCTGGTGTAGTTGTTGTTGTTGACGATGATGATGATGCTGATGATGATGATTTAAATGAATCTCTCTCATCAACTGGTTTTGTATGTACAGCATCAAATATTCTTGACCAATGTTCAAGTACATAAAAATTTGATGCTTCTATTTTTTGTGTTTCATTAGCATCATTTATTTTACATATAAATAAATATGATAATGATGAATCCGTTTTTTTCCATGACCATTCATCTTTAGTATCATTTTGATCATTTGCACTTTCTTTTATAATTTTTTCAACTTCACAATAAATATATAAATCATTCATACGATAAACACATAAATCTCCTGGTAGTACTTGATGTTGTTCTATATTAAATTGTTGTAATTGTTCAACATCATCACCATAAACATTACCCGGTGATGGTATATATTGTAATTTAAGTATAGATAAAATATTTTCTTCTGTAGCAACATTAACTAAATTTAATAATTTAGACATTTGTCCAATTGTTGTTGCTAATAAAGCAGCCATAACAGAATTATCTAATTGTAATTCTGATAAACCTAAGCATGGACTTAATGCACGTGCTAAACATAATGTAAAATATGGTTGTTCAGTATGTTTCATACTAATATATAAAATAATATTTTCTTCTCCCTCAACAACTAAATAAACAGCTTTTTCATCAACTGATTGATCAACTTTTTGTTGTGTTTTTTTATATATTAAATTTGTTTCAAGATATTCAACACATGTTACTTTAACAAATGTTAAACGTTGACGTATTAAATTTTCAACATCATCAATTGAAATTATTTTAGGATTTTGTTGTCGTGCAACATGATTAGCTATGACACGTGCCATACAACGATGTAAATGACGTGATGATAATAATTGATTATATTTTCTTTCAAGATTAAATAGAAAACGTTGACGATGTGATTCTTCATCTTCAGGTATAGTTATTGAAAATGATTCTTCATATTTTTGACTAAATAATATTGGACGTTGACTAACAAATATTTTATCAACTATATCACGTAAAGTTGTTGGTGATGGTGTTTGTTTTGAATTTGATGATGATGGATCTAATTTAAGTACACGTTCATTTGGATTAAACATAAATTTATCATGAACTAATTTTGTCATGTAATCAAGTTTTGTTTTATCATCCATGATTACAATATCATTCGATTTAACTAATTTAAAATCATTCGAGACAAGATAAAGACCTAGAATAATAAAAAGAATTTTGAACAATTTGTTTTATCTGTATTTCAGTCTTTTAGTTATTTCAGTGAAATTTAAAAAAACTGAAAAAGAAGCTTTTTTCACTTTGAAATTTTCGTAGAAAATTTTGTCTTCACTTGGATTTATAATAAAAATTATTATCAGGAAACGATTGAGATTTAAATGACACTATTCACTGAATACTTCACATAGATTTGATATATATAGACATGTACTAAGACTGAAAATCTCAGTCAAGGATACATTCTTTTGATAAAAGAGTAATTTTCTATTAAGTTTACCTTACGATTTTTGCGCGCAAGACAATCTAAATCTATAGTTAATTCCTTGTAATTTTTTTCGACACACTAACTATCGCTTCAGACTCCTCGCCCTCGAAGATTTTTATTCAAACTTGATACGAAATCATTAAATCTCTTTAAATAAGACACTTCTAACTCAAATCTAGACTAAACTTGTGAATAGTAAAAAGACATACATAGTGAAACATGCTCTTAGGATGACATAGAAATTATTGTTATTAGCCGCTCAAATCTTATGGCAAACGAGTCTATCGTAACTGAGCCTAAAAATTAGTGTTATTGAGTGAAAAACTAATTTCATTCTCTAATACACAAATGGTCAGCGATATCATTTTATATTTTGAATCTACATATCGTTTTTCAAAAATCCCAACCTTTTAGATAAAATCTATTATTTTCAACACAACAACTTTGATATACAAAATTAAAATAATATTCAGAATAAGATAGAAGACCTTCTAGAGGAATCAATTTAAAAAACATGTTAGAAACTCCAAAACTTTTGCTGTCTCCGGACAATTGTAGTTTTTCAAGCAATATTTCACAGATACTATGAGATTAGTCTTGATCAAACGCCATCTGTATACAAAAAAAATCTTTCTGCTGAAGTCAAATAATCATGATTGAGAATTATCCCTGGAAATCATTTCCATTTTTCGTGGACGTTTGAGATCATAGTCACCATGTATTCTGTTACCGTCACTTTACTTTGGAACAGGTATTTGAACATGAACATCATTACAGATTAACAAATTTCTATTTCTTCTGCTGATGATATAGTGTGGGTGCATGAATCTTCTCAGTGGTAATATTCATACTTAATTCGCTTTTTTCTCCCTGAAATTTTTGAATATCTAGAAATTGTAGAAGCCCCAGAAGCTTCTATTCTGGCCAGGGTTTGTTTACCAAAGAAAAACATGTTTTTAAGAAGAGAAAAAATTGTTGAAAAAAATGCCGGTCAAGGTTTTCGTCAAGTGTTCTCCATTAAAGGCTTTCTTTTTCAAAGGAAAAAAAAAAAATTTTCTTTCATTACATGTCAGCCTGTGTGGCTAAAAATGTACACTATGCCCTGCAGTGTAAAGTGATATTCAAATGAGAAGAATGTACAAATAGGGTAAGAAAATTCTTTTCTCTGAGACAAAGTATAAAATACGAAAATGCCTATCCTGCACATTTTACCGAAACTGTTAGGCTCAGTTTCGATACACAGGAGTGTCTCTTTAACACCGAAAATAAAATTTCGTTTTTCTCTTATAGAGTGCCATCAGTTTTTTCAACTTTAGCAGAAACCTTTCAATCGGTCTCCTGAATCATTGGCGCTGCTTTCTTCAATCATGCCGGTCTTCAACCACTACAATATTAACTATCAATTAATAGGATTTTATTATTTTCAACACGACTTCTTTATACTAACAATGTGCTAATATGCTCTTGTCTTTGATCTATTAATCTTTTAAAAACTTGTTTTTATATTAATAAATGTATCAGTTCATTTTTACTGATTATTGTCTCGAGTATTATTCAAAGAAAAAATTTAGCTTTAATGATAATACATAAGTATATATAGATTGTTGGTTTTTTTACTTACCAGGTAATCTAGTTTGTGAATTAACTGTTGTACTTGTTGTTAAATATTTAAAAAAACATTCCATAGCTTTCAATGATTTACATAATTCATTTGAATTTAAATAATCTTGTTCACAAACTTTTGATAATTTTCTTAATATGTCACCATATAACATTGGATGTGGTTCAGGTTTAGTACCAATTTGTAGAAAAAAATCTTTATATTCATGAAAATCATTATCTAATGAAAAAACAAATGGTGGAATTTCATCAGTTACAGGTAGATTTAAACAGAAAAATTTTGCTTGTAAAAATTGACGACGTGTTCGAGAATAAATACATTCTCGATCTTCTAATTCTTTATAAATTTCAGTGCGACGTTCAATTTTAATTTCATTTTGAAAATAATGATAAATAGATTTTAATACTGGTATTAAAATATCATCAATCATTTGTTGAGTTATTTCTATTGGAGATTTGACTTCACTGAAAAAAAAACAAAATAAAATTAATATAAGAAAAACTAATTAAAAAAAGGCCTTCATATTACATACTTGAGTTTTTCATATTTTAATGAAAACCTTTTAGCTAAATTTGCAAGATTTTTTTGTACTAATGCATATGATGGTTTTTTATTTAATTTAAAAAATTCTAATGCATTTTGATCGATTGGTTCTTGTTGATCATTTAAATCATTATAACATTCAAGACGAATAAATTCTGGTAATAAATAGGATGACGTCCAACATAATTTTGCATCTTTTAATAATTCACCATCGCTTAATTTAATACATGTAAAACGAAAACTATCATTCAGATTAGTTTCTGTTGAATTTGTATATTGCTCATGTAATTGTAATAATTCATCATTTTCTAAATGCATTTGATATGGTTCAAGAAATTTATAATCTAATATTGAATTATCATAACGTGTCCAATTTGTTAATAAATGTTCATATAAATATTTTGAACGTTTACGTTGTTCATTTGTCCAACCATCTTGTTTAATATTAAGTTGGACTGATTCCATGATTTGTTTACATTTATCCGTTGATATATATGAACGAAGACCACATTCCTTAAGAAACTTTAATAATGTTGGTGTATGAAATTGTTCATCAGGAAAATGATGAACATCTAAGATAGAACGAATATTTTTAATATTTGGATCATATAATTCATAAATTGGACAGATTTCAGGTGGATCACGCTAGAACAAAGAAAAGACGAAAACAAATATTATGAATAAGAACGAAAATTCAAGGTTATGTTTTTATTTTACCGATGCTCTTGACATTCCTGTTGATGCTTTTTGTGAATGATCGTTATTATTCATCGATGTCTGTGTAAATATTTCTAAATGATCATGTAACTGTTTTCTACATTGTTCTTTTTCATGTGGAAATAATTTTTCATCAATTTCTTCAATAAAATATTTTAATAAATTTGCTTGAGATTTAACATCTAATTTTCGAAAATATGGTAAACATAATTGTAAAAATATTTCCAAATCTGATAAAATATTAAAACGTATATGAGAAAATATTTTACTTAATGGTTCAATTTTTTTTTGCATTAGTAAAACAGTTTTTTTTTCATGAAATTGTTCACTAAAAAAATTTCTTTTAAATGATCGACGAATTATATTTGACCAATCTTCATTTAAAATGTAAACATGAGCAAAATTTTCTAATGAACAACATTGTTGAATAGGTATTTGTTGTTGTTGTTTATCATCAGTAGAAACAACACCCCAAAGTGGTTTATAGATTTTTAATTCGCGCAATTTTTGAAAATTACCTTGATAGCCATGTATTAAAAAATCATTAAAGTATTTTAATATAATAACAATATCATCATCAGATAAATTATTTGTTATTTGTACATGTTTATTTAATTCAAGTAAAAATTCTAAGACAATATTTGGATTTGATTCATCCATATTTTCAACTAATTGAGGATTTATATGTGGATCATCCAGACGTGCTAAAATAGATTCTAATTTTTTATTACCAAATATTTTTGGAAATACACGCGAAGAATTTGTTGTTGACATATTTGTTGTTGCAGTTTGAGATTCTATTAATGGAGTCGGTGGTGGCGTTGATGCCCTTGCTGTTGCTGTTACTGTAGGAGTTTTTCGTACTTTTACACCAGCTTTTAAACAAACACGTCGATCAATTGATGGATGCACATAGTGTTCGTCTTGCGATGATGAAGATGGATTTGACACTAAGACAACAACAAAAAAGTAGGAGTTCGATCAACAAAATGAAATCTGATAGGTATTTAAATATTTTAACAAAAAAAACACACACATACACAAGCTCTCTCTCTCTCGTTTTTTTCTTTACAATTAGTTTTACTTGGAACTTTGAAGAAAATTGTGTGATTACTACGCTTTAATGGCGTCGTTGACATTCTATCGCGTTGGAGTTTGTATTAGTAATATTGTTACTTTCTATACATTGCCAAATGCTACCACAACAACCAATAATTGCGCCGATAGTAGAAAGCAAAAGAAGATGACTGACAGAATAGAGAAAAGAAATGTGCTCTTGCTTTACAACAAGAAGAAAAAGAAGCCAATGATGCTGACGAGCACAAGGCTATATTAATAAGTGTAAATAACTATTGCCTTTATTTAGATGTATTATGTATCCAGTCAAGTACTTGTGAAATGCAATGTATAAATCATTAAGAATGAACATTTTTATACTTAATTGGATACATCAATTATCTGACATTATACTTTGAAAAGGGTAAAGAGCATGTGATGTTACGGATGAACTAGCACACCTATGAAATGTAACAGACATAAAGGGGATAAAAAGAAAATAGATTAATTGAATCAAATAGCACATGACTTGAAAAAATCAATCTATTTATAACTTACGTATATGTTCTCGTTCGAATGGATAAAAAAATAATGTGGGACCAGCATGAAGAACACAATCAACATTTGGTAAATGTAAAATAATATTTGTATTAAAAACATTTGAATATTGTTCAATTAATAATGTATAAATATTTTGTAATAATGTTAAGTCATCTTTATCAATTGGTTTTGTTCCATATTTTTTTTTAATTTGTTCAATTATATTTAAAAGATCTTTACCATCAATTTGTATTTTAATTTGTAATAAATCAAGAAAGAAATTCTTATAATATTTATGTAATGTTACTGGTAATGCATAAAAATATGGTTTTAAACTATTTGATAATGATGTACGATTTGGTGCATGCCATAATAATTGTGATAATGATAAAAATAAATATGTATCCGTTGATGATGAATCACTCATATAAATAAGACGACGTTGAGAAAAAAATTCTCGTATATCACGTATAGATTGTTCCAATTGATTAGATTTTATTGTTGATGTACGTTGTTCATTTGTTTTTAAATGTGGAAAACAGTATGATTGAATATAATCATATATTGAATAACTCATGTCTAAAAATAATTTTTATATATTTAGATGTAAAAACAAAACTAGACGTCTTTGAAGATTATTTTGAAGGACACAATGGAAAAGAATGTAAGGATATCTCGATAATCGCTGACAGACAAATAAATATTCATATTTTGTTGTTATAGAAGAATATGGAAGATATATAATCGTCGTTGTACTATTTCATGAGACTCGTCAAAATACAATCGATGAGAAATGGATACAGTAAATACCAAAATTATTCAATTAGATTTATTTTCAATCTTTTCTTCGCTATCGTAAGCATTAGATAGAATTCAAATTCTCATATCAAAAGATGTGCTGTGAAATCCTCTACGAAAATTCATATTGAAAGTTTTATAACAAAAAAAAATATGCATATTAAAAAACTCTACGAAGAACAATATAGAACTTCAAATCTGTTGACTTTCTAATCAAAAATACGGTTTTTTGAAATTTTTGCTTTTCTTCATGCTAACATAGGAAAATCTAACTATCAAATTTGTAGCCTTGAAGAGCTATATCTTCGTCTCCTTAATTAAAAACAAATCTCATCACGGTCAACTGAAAAAGAAATTCTTTGATTTTTAGGTTCCTTTTATTCAAATCATCACTTTTCAACTGAAGCTTAGTGCTGTTGTAAAAAACTCTTATATCTTATCGAGAACAAAGTATTTTGGACTAAAATTATATTCAATAAGAAGATATTCAATTAGTCACAATGAACAGATAGAATTTTTCGTGTTAATTAGCTCATATTAAGAAAGTCATCCTTTTTATTGTAACACTAACATTATGAGGAAGAGCAAATCTGACAGTATCAAAGAACTTATTACCATAATATGTCATAAGCAAAGTTTCACTTTTTGCTAAATTAAATTTAGATATAATTTATTTTTAATTGGATGCTAAACTAAAAAATAATTTTGTTTTATTTAAAAATAAATTCTAATTTTCATTTGCATTAAGCAAATCTAGCTCTTATTCATATTGTAAAGTATGCATGAATGACTTCTTAGTCGACATCGAAAAATGATTCTCGAAAGTATTTTTATAAATAAGTGAATTAACATTTTGAAACATTAAATTCCGAGAGCAAACAATTCTTATTCTATCACAGGAAAAACATAATCAAAAAAAAAACCTTCACTTTTGTGGTTTGAACAAAACAAACTTAACAACATAATCTATTTATACTTTACATAGCATCAAGGAATCAAGTCGAAGACAAATAAACATGAATAAAAAAAGAAAATGTTATTCAAAAAGCATAAATTTAAAAAATTCTTTCTTTTGTTTTTGTGTTCGCAATTTCTCAGTATTTTTCGTACAGTTTTCTATCTTCATATTTTGTAACAAACATATTCAATACAAATTTTGAACAGAATTTTATAGCGCATCGTTCAGATATGAAAAGAGAATAAAAGTTACTAAGATTATATTTATATAATTTCTTCCATGTCTTACCAAGTATATATTTCGATGTGATTTGATGATTATAAGTAACTGAACTAGGACCATTAATAACAGTTAATTTAGCAAGTTCATCAAGTTGCTTAAGTACATCTCGTAATTCAATTTTATTTATATCATCAAGGCCAAGAAAATGTTCAACTTGTTTTGTTATAATTGGTTGTTCTTGTGCATTTTTTGATTGTTGTGCTATTGGCCATGAACAACAAACTAATTGTTCATATTGTTGTGATAAAATATCTTTTGGTTTAAATAATCGACCAATATATTTATCACCCATCCATGTTAAGCTAATACCATTTAATTCTATAGGTCGTTGTTTTATTGGTATAAATGGTAATTCACGTAATTGTAATGCTGCACGTGAACGTGCTTCTTTATCATGTAATGCTTCATGGGTATGAACAGTTGATGTTTGAGAATTAATTGGTTTTTCACGTGATATTGATGCTGATTGACGTGAACGACGATCAGATGAATCATCATTTTCATCATATGTTCGAGTTGTATTTGAATTTGATAATGTTAACATATCATTAAGAATTTGAAGAAGTGCTAATGAACGTTCATGAGCTAAATCATAATCACGCATACGTTGAATTGATTCACAACGTTCAACAAGTTCAGGCCATGTTAAAAGATTATCATCGCATTTCATCCCTAGATAAGAAAAAAAAAATATTTCAAAGATTATATTTATATAGTAAGAAACTTTTTATTTCTTCAAAATTTGTAAATAAGAATGAGTTATAGAAACTGTTTATAAATAGACTTTTATCCTTTAGTAATTATGTGCAAGTTTATACCAATGAAAATATTATTGTCGGAAAATTCTCACAAATGTTTATTCAAAATCTCTTCCGGAAACTTTCATCGTACGAAAAAATAATGATGAATAACGGCATAATTTTAAACTATAACTTTTATCAAAAGATAGATGAAAACTGTATAGGCTTTGTCTAATAACAATGAAATAAGTCCATTATTGCTATTTGGCTTATGAAGGAACCACCAAAATGAATGCCTGCTGCTTAAGTTTATACGGGGTTGTGAAAAGACATTTTAGTGAGACTAGCAAAAAATCTAAAAGAGTTCGTCCCCATAGGCCATTGAAGTTGAATTATGACCATTTTACGAGATTTCTCACCTAGGGGAGGGAAGTTACCGTTACTACCTAGTTACGTTACCAGGTAACTAGTAACTTTGGCGTTACTAGTTACCAAGTAACGGTAACGCTTTATAGACCCTTACCTGGTGACGTAATATTCGAACATCTTAAGGTATTCGAATATTACGTCGCCAGATAAGGGTCCATAAAACGTTACCGTTACTTGGTAACTAGTAACGCCAAAGTTACTAGTTACTCGGTAACTGGTAACTTCGGCGTTACTAGTTACTTGGTAACTAGTAACTTCGGCGTT